GCTTCACTGAAACGATGAACATAAAAATTGAAGTCAAAGGCCGGTCAGTTCACGAATCCTTCATTCTGTTGTCTAATAAGATTCAGACATTTTCTTTTTTATCATCGTCCAGGAGGCTGTTTTTTAATCGAGGAGATTCTCCCTGTACACATCTGAACATGTAGCACTGTGATTGAAAACCGGTATAAAATCATCCAGTGTGACCTCCACAATGAAATACAATGCATGTGCAATAAATATTACATCACTCAAGACAGACTGGGATCATACTTTATGGTGTTGGTGAATTGTATTGAAACATTTTTTTTCTAATATAGTCTGATATTTTGAAACTTGATGACATATGGAGAAGCTACAGTTTTAGTCACACCAAATAACACAATATAATGCTTACCATTCAGTCCAGTAAAATAACAGCACAAAGAACAGCCTCAAAAACAAAGAGACATTCAGAATTTACAGTATAAACTGGGATCAGTCTCTTCTAGGCGTCATTTTCCAACACCGAGTGCCAATCCAACACTAGTGCTCTTCTCTCAGTTTAAAATCTGTATATCTCAGTGTGTGGAGCTGATTGGGATCATTCTTCTATCTCATATGAGACGTCAAAGGGACAGTTTGCTCCAAAGTTGTAGTGCGATTTATCCGTGTAGATTGTTTTGATGTGAGCTGCCGAGTATTTAAGATGTCTGCCTTAACTAGATCTCACCTAGCTTGTGGTGCCGTTATCTTCAACACTCGGAAACTCACACCAAAATTATCTAGACTGATAAACAGCACTACAGGTAAGAGGAAATTTATGTTTTTGATTTGGGATTGAACTGTCCCTTAAACACAGGCATGTCTAAACTTCGGTCCAAAAATTGTGGCCCACGGACAGATTGAAACGGCTGGCGGCTTGTCTTTTAACATATACTATGTGTGGCCCACACAATATTGGTTGATTAAGCAAGAGCACTGCATATTTTTTTGTTCACCTCACAATGGCAGGAATATCAAACAGCTTGTGAACAGTTCAGTGGAAGATAAAACAGTTGCACTGTCGAGGTGCTATGTTGTTTTTAACCACCCAATGTTCAGTTCCATTCAATTTTATTTATAAAGCCTAATATCTGACCTTAGGACCCTCACAGCAGATAAGGAAAAATTCCTCCCAAAAACACCCCTTAATGGGGAAAAAAACAATGTGATGCATGCTGGCCCTCAGGTATTCTTACTAATCTGGCCTGAAAAAGTTTGGGCACCTATGCTTTAAGGACACATTATCATTTAACTTTAAGTGAAAAAATTCATGCGCCAACATTCGTAACTTCTCATTCCTCAACTGTAATTTAATGTGGGTCGATCACAACCAGCTGCTTCTTGATCTACTTAAAGGTCAGTACCAGCACCATTGTGTCAGAAAGGTTTACTAAGTCAAGTCAGTCCAAGTCTCTGTTATACTGGATTAAATTATACTGTACGTCGGTTTCTACATTTCTAGTCACTCGATGTACATGCTCATGTATCTCTGTGTACAAATAAGATATCAGAGGTATGATTAAAAATGATAGTTTAAAGACCATTAATCCTCCAAGGCATGTGCTCTTCAACAAAAACTCACTCTTCAACTTTGTATTTTCATGACGTTCTCACTCCCAACTCGTTCAATGACCCTATGCTTCAAATTATGATGCTCTACGTTCCCTTCCAGAATCAGTTTTGGATGAGTCACTTTCCTAGCAGCGTGCACTTGTTTGCTAGAATGTCTTTCAAGCGTAACCTCTGTCATCACAGGAGTCGTAGGTTCCACCACTAAAACTATTTTAGGTTTAGGCAACAAAACCACTTGGTTAGGTTTAGAAATTGGACACTGACAGTGGTCTTTTGGGTGAAAGGTGTGTGTTTGACCTTCCACCACGTCCCTCCCTCTTGCCCGCCCTACTCGGACTTTCTCGCTATTTCAAATATGTTATTGCCACAGACGGGATTTCAACATTATTTAAAAGCCTGATGTAGCGTGCCTTGTGTAACAGAAGAAACAAGGCTGCTGTATTTAATTCCCAGAGAATAAGAGCATTTCCTGATTATCCACAGCCTGAAACTAAAGCTAAAGTGGCCTCACACAGATTATTGTAACGTTAAAGCCTTCTCATGCTCATGTATTGTATTGTGGTACATGTGTGAATGTCAGAGACACACCCCCGTAAGTTGTCACTCCAAATCAAATATTAAAAGCGGGCAGGTGAGATGTTTTCGTGTCACACACAGAAATGCTTGTTGGCACACACAAACACACACACATGCACACACAGACACACACAGTGGGAAACCTAAAGCCAGCTTTTATCTCAAAGAAGTGATTTACTTTCAGATTACTCAAGATGCTCCGAGTTGCCCTCCCCCTCATTTTTCTCTCTTTCTTTCCTGCCATTATCCCTTCATCTTGGAGAACTTGCTTTTCTTTGGTAGCGTAAAACTCTCCAACCACCTCCTTTTTTTTTTCCTGTCTGCTCCGTTCTGGCTCTCTCTGCTCTTTTACTCAATTTGCATTCACGCCTCCCTGGTGGAACCAAACTCATCCCTCACTCGTGTTCTTTCTCTCTCTCTCTCTCTTTTTTGCATTCACTATAAATATAGTTCCCTTGAAGCATTTTACGCTTTTTTTTCTACCACTAATACCCTCTGTAGGCTAGTAAATGATGTAATGAGAAAAAGTGATGAGAGGAGAGGAGTGGAGGAGGAGAGCAAAGGATGGATGTTGAACAATTAATCTTCCGCTCATGTTAGTCTGAAAGGAAGGGATGAGAGGAATGGAGAGCAGGGGGAGAAAGACAAATTCAGGAAGGATTTGAGGAGAGCGGTAAGAAGTGATGGAGAGAGGGAGACATTGGGAACAGTGTTTCGATCTTCATTTAATAATTGAATAATAATCCCCCTTGAGACATGACCTAGAACTGGCAAAGAGAGAGGCAGCATCAGGCTGAGGATGACACACTGCTGCCCCCTTGTGATTTTATGATGTCACCACTATAACATCTGAGTGTGTGTGTGTGTGTGTGTGTGTGTGTGTGTGCGTGTGTGTGTCTGTGTCTGTGTGTCTGTGTGTGTGTGCGCACACATGCTCATCGGCGTGTGTATGATTTACAACTGCAACCTGTCTCTGTCACACAGATATGGGCCCGTGTCTGTGATGGGGAGAAAAAGAGGGCTTTTGGATGTCAGGAAAGAATCTATTTCACTTTGTCACACAAACTACACACACACACATACACTCCCAGACACAGATTCAGACCTTATCTTCCTGTCAAGCCGAGTCTTTTTTGGGGTTGACGCTGATATATGAGCTTTGGGGGGGGAGAAACGTGGCCGGGACGTTGACGACTGACGTGAGCGCAACGTTGTGCTCAGGTTGATGTACGAGCACTGGGGTTAGGGGACAACGCTGCGCTGACACCAGGAGAAGGAGCTGTGGCCCTGGGGCCTTCAGTCCATACTGAAGAGCCAGCTCCGCATTCTCTGCAAGCAGCAGCCCTGCAGCCACAAATACACACACACACACACTTACACACACACCTGCTTTGTGTTATTAATAACTCAATAACTCTCAGACAAAGATTTGTTTGACCTCGAGTTAACGCTGAAGCTGACATGCATGCATCCAGGAACAACAGGGTACCATACGATGATGTGAGGTGTCATGTTGTCTTCGCTGTGATGTATGCGATGTTTGTGTGTCTAAAAATGTTGCACGGACGACTGGGATTTAGAGCCAGTTAACTGCATGTATGCTAAATGTGGACCTTCATGCTAACCATGATGTCACACAACAAATAGCACAGCTGCATTGTGTGTGTGTGTGTGTGTGTGTGTGTGTGTGTGTGTGTGTGCTATTAGAGAGGGCGCTACTAGGGTGTGTGATCATGTTGAAATATTAGTCCCATTTCCACTTTTGAAATGAAATATTTTTAAATACATTATGAAATGTTTTGCACATGAAAGCTGTGTGTTGAACATGTTAATTCATGTAGTTATTTTGAGTGTTTTGTTTTCTGAGCACTGTGAGCGGCAATCAGTGCACGGATTGCACCATATAAATTACATTTATTTTTATTCATTATTGATGATCATGGTTAATAAAGTTTCATTAGTTTCCAGAGGCAATTTAGACATAACACGGGCAAAAAATAATAATTTTTTTCACTTCAAATTCTGCAAATATTTTGTGATTTTCCAGCAAGGCAGAAACTAGGACCTCACTATTTTTTTAAAAAATTCTTGAAATTACAATATAGCAAAGTACAATATCCAAATTGCAGGAGCTGCAATAAAATGTGTCACAGCATGCCATTATAAATGAAGCATTGTTGAACTACAGAGATGCTCTGTCGTACATATATTTACTTATCTATTTTTGTGTGAAAATAAAATGCAAAATCTATCATTCCCTCTAAAATCGTGACTGGTATCGCAATTAAAATATCTGCTGAAATAATGGCAATATGAATTTTTTTTTTCTTTTTTTTTTTTTTTGGAATATCATGCAGCCTTAAAAACATGTTGCAGATGTTCATTCAGTTATTTATTTTGTGTGTTTTTTAAGCACTGTGAGCTGCAATCAATACATAATTTGCACTAGATAAATAACATTTATTTTTTTATTTCATGAAGCACAAGGTTGATAAAATTTCATTCGTTTCCAGAGGCAGTTTAGACGTAATACTAGCAACTGACTGGCAGGCAAAAACAGTTTTTCCCCCTCAAATTCTGCAAATACTTTGTGATTTTCCAGTGGGGCGGAAACAGTAAAGAACATGTCTAATTATGATGTGCTCACTCTAATTAGTTTGCCTGTGAAAGATGACAGATTTGTGGAAATGCAGTTCTTTTTTTAATAAATGTCTAAATGAAACAGCTTTAATTAATGTTACTGGGGAAAAGTTAAATGATGTGTTTATTGTTCAACTTTATAATTACACTCAGCCTGACTGTCTGCACTCTTTCTGTCTCTCTGTGTCCAGTCTGCGTAGAGAGGGCTACACAATGCAGGTGAACGTCAACGACTACCTGGACATCTACTGCCCTCACTACAATGACAGCCAGCGCATGGTGGGCACTGGCGAGCAGTACGTCCTCTACATGGTCAGCTACCGTGGTTACAGAAACTGCGACCCCCAGCTGGGCTTCAAGAGGTGGGAGTGTAACCGACCCCATGCGCCCCACGCGCCCATCAAGTTCTCCGAGAAGTTCCAGCGCTACAGCGCCTTCTCGCTGGGCTACGAGTTCCACGTCGGACAGGAGTACTACTACATCTGTGAGTGTAATCAAACCATCACTGTGTCAGTACGTGTTACTATAAAATGCCTGTGTATGTCCTTGAAATACAAATGAAAATAAATTATATTAAAAGCTTGCTATCCTTGCAGGAGGTCATTAAGAGCAGAGCAGTGATGTGACAAACACTCCCCACAAGATTAAACGTGTTATTCTTTTAATGTTAAGTGGATTTGGTGATTAACTCACTTCAGATTAGTCAAAATCCATCCTCAGGTAATTTCAGGATAACAAATTGCTGTTTCACATCTAATCATATCACCCCGCAGTCAAGCAGACTCATCCATTTTGTTGATTGCTAATCAAATTAACTCTCAACACCTTGCACAAATATGACGCCGTATAAATAATGAACACTTGGCTTGTCATGAAACAATTTAAAAACAAATATGTCAAGCCTAGGATGACTGTCTCATGCATTAAATGGCTATATAATGAGCGCAGCACTCATTTAACCTACATTACTTGATGGGAGACGTCTCTATGAAATTTTTTTTGTTGAGCTCTGCAGCACAAAAGTCAGAAGCTGCTCTGTACTTCGCTGCAATGAAGATGTCTCCTTGTTCTTTTGGTCTTCTGGAAGCTGAAAATGTATAGCAACTTAAAATGAATTTGGTGCGATTGGTTGGTTATATTATTTTACTTTAAGACATTTGAATCTGAAGTTAAACAATTTAAATGTAGATTTTGTTTTACCAGCAGACACTTTGAGTTGTCACAGCAGGAAAAGCACAAGTGTTACTAATGGCGTTAATGATAGCTCTGCTCTGTTGTGACCCAGCAAGCCATGACAGTGTGACAGTAAATCAGCATGCACAATACCAGGACCTGTGCTTTTCCTACTGTGATATGTCAAAATGTCTTCTGTAAAAATGGGCCTCTTATCTTTCCAATTAACTGTTTTATATTATAGAGTACACTTAACTAAATTAAGACATATTTAGACTTCCAATAGAGGAGACTGGTGACACATTTTCAATGTTGCCTCTCTGCAGCAAGGTCATATGGCTGGTGTTTTTACATGTCCATCCTGTATCTGTATCTCGGGGTCAGGTGAGAGAACATCATTCGAAACCTTTGTCAGATGTTTTGGACCATTAATGAGTTGTTGTGAGTGACGTTCATACAATCAGTCAGATGTGTTTGTCTCCTGCTGCTCATGTGAGTGCCATATGTGGTTCAATGCAGCCATAGATCAGTTATAATGCTGTATAATTAAGTATATCTTATTTCCATTGCATGGTATGGCTCAACTCAACTCACTTTTGGTACCAGGTCCTTTTCTTAATTTTTTTTTCACTGCAGTGTAGGTGCGATTCTCAGCTGTTTGCCATAGTGGTGCCACGTGAAACTGCTATAACACCATCTTTAATGCAGTACTAGCTGGATTCTGTCATGAGCAACCAATCACGGGAGTGTCTGCACTTTGTCATTTGTAGTGTAAGGTGTAGTGTGGATTAAGTTTTGCAGGCTGCTATTTTTACGTCTCTGCACATGTGACAGCCATGGCTAGAGACGTCCTGTTTTAGCAAGGTCAGTCCCTTTCTCACGAATGGGAAATCACAAGAACACCTTGAGGGAATTTCCTTTCTTTTAGGACAAACATCTAAACGGACTCAACGATGAACTGACTAGAATTTGGTGATCAGTGGTCAAGGTCACTGTGACCTTGCAACACATGTTTTTTGACCTCAACATTTTGCACAAATGTCCAATAGGATCAAATGGTGATGTGATGACACCAAAAGGTCAGCTTCACTGAACCAAAGAGGAGACATTTGATCAGATGTTGAATTTGTGACACTATTCTTGGGTGTCCAACTTGAAACTCTGCTGAGTGTATAGCTCCTCTGTGCTGCCCCCTTGAAGATGTGTGTGTTTTAGAATATGTAGCTTGTTTGCAGCGGCATCTGAGGCATCGTCTACTGTCATGGCTACATATGAGTCTGCACAGACATGGATGTAAACCATAACTGGACTGCTTGGCTCAGGCATGTAACCAAAAGAGACAGTAATTATAGTTTAAAATCAGGGTTGAGTGAATACAAAAAAAATTGTGGTCGCTGTTGATGGTAGCTTGGCTCTTTAAATATTGCAGGTTTGTGCAGGATGTCCCGTGTTGAAGTAGTGACGGTTCTCTGGGACCAATCAGTCACTTTGAACCTCGACTGAAGTGGTACAGAAACA